CAGGATGTATACAAACATGGCTGCTTAAACCAGGAAGTAAATTATATTATTCTGCATTTACAAGTACTACATGCACACAATAAACAGATTTAAGTTAAATACCTAGCAATCATAAAGCCATGGATATAAACTTGTTATCCACCAAGATATAAACGCATTAGACAAGAAATAAAAATACAATAAAGCTTTAAAGTTAGGTTCTAGCTGACTCTATTAAAGTTTTTATGGACCAGGGTATTACAATATTTTATTAGAAAATTAACATAAATGCGTCAAAGTATACAAAAACGCCCATTGTTGCGATAGTCACGCTGTAGAAATATGTAGATAAGTCATAAATTGTATATGAAATGACACAGTACTTGATTGTTGACGTGCCACGACCAATCAGACTGCAGTTACTACGCAGGAACAACGTTTGAAAGCTTAATTCACTATTATTCAATATTTTCTGTTTATTCGGATCTAAAATTTGAGACTTTATTTGGGAGGGAACTACTGTATAGATTAAACTGTTGAAACAATTTTTGGGTTAAAGTCAATCATACTGTGATCAGGTGACATCTCTTTAAAGATCATGTAACACAATTTTTTCAAGTTTTATTTCATAAATATGATGCTCAAATTAAGATTTGGCAATATTGTACGTTCCATTAAGCATTATTTATAAAGATATCACCGAAGATATCATTTTATGTGAATAAAGGGAGGTAATTAGAAATTTATTTTCTATAAATTCTAGTCAAATATTTTCCAATAAGAAATGAATGCATGTAATTTATTGATTAAAAATGATGTGCACAAATATCTGCAGTACACACTTTAAATATTATTCGATGTTTGAAAATTGTTTTATTTGCATAATTATATACATATCTAATTTATTGCAAGTGTGGCATACACATCGTAATAATATCAATCACAAAACATACAGGATCTTTAACTGACTTATCTTGAGGTCATCGCATGCACAAAGGTATGTAATTGTTATAAATATCAATTACATATTAACATTAGAGTTAAATTTGTTTTTCAAAGACATGTATACATCAGTCAAGATATCACTCAAAAGAAATGCATGAATTCCAAACAACTTTCTACGTCGTCATCAATACACGACAATAATCTTATTTTCGAGCCACGTGGTGTGTCGTTTACCATAATCGAACTTTGAACTTGACTTACATCTAATATTTCTGTTAATCTATCAAGGTCACCATGTTAAAAAGGAAAAAGATAAGTGTTGGTGTAGCTTTTTTCATGAAATTCACGAAAGCAGGTACGGACGTGGAAACTATAATTATGAATTTCATCGCTTTACGCATATGGTAAAATTAGCCATGCATCATGCAATAAGACGATTTAAACGTGTTTTAATAAAATACTTTTCCACAATTTGATATCCTTTAGCATATCTAATATAGTAAATTTTATAATTTAGAATAAGATTTCTAGTGTCTTAGCCTTGTGTTTTTGTATTTACTTTACTTGTGTAACCGTCTTACAAAAAAGAGGCCTGTCTTAGCGAAGAAGAAAAACTGGTCATGACAGATAGTTTAGGTTTGGACTTGATCTAATAGATTCTTTATATTTGTTTGTATCGCATGTTGAGAATTTTGATGGAAAGTGAAACATCTCTCACCTTTTTCAATCTTTTACACAATACGTTGAAGTCAAAGATCCCTGATGACGTCACAATCACGATGTAATGGTACGAACTGTTGTCTTCGACATCAGATATATACTTTCGTCTATTTCAAAAAGTTATTTAAATAGAAAATGTCTGTCAGAGGTTAAAAAGTGTGTGGCTATCATTATGAGATAATATACTAGTATTTAGAAATACATGTATACTGGACTTTCCTTTAGAAACAGAAAAAAAATAAATTGTTACATAATTATGTTTTGCTTTACATTCTTTGTGTGCTCATAATTTAGATAGATTATAAGGCTCTCAATTAATATATCTTTGCTATTCATTGTTGGATTATTTTACATATTTTAAATTAAAATGTTCTGTCGCTTATTTTACTGTCTACGGAATCCGATGTAGACAAGTTTGCACACATTTTCAAATGAAGTTCTACAATTAAATCTTAAGAGCAACTTTTTCAGTTTAAGGTTTTCATGGGGCAAAATTTTTTTTCTTTATGTTCGTAAATTTGATTAAGTCTGGTTAGATAATGTTTTCTGTTTGACTATTTGAGAAAATATACATGTATCTTATAAATAAATAAATAAATAAATAATAATATTTTATACATAATATTTACTATGAAATGATTAGAAATATGGCAGCTTAAATTGTTAAATTTCAGAATAACTTAATAGTTTTACATATTTTTTAAATAAATGAATGCATAACAGATTTTTAAGTCACCAAAATAAATATTTTTATTCAATGTAACATATATTGAATGGATAAACGGTCAAAACGAAAAATACACTGCTGCAAAAACACTGCAAAAAAGTGTTAAGAATGTCATGATAATCTCTATAATTTGCAAAACTTAAATTTAAACGCACACGTACATATTATCTCTTGTTGTTATTTCTGAACAAATACACTTAAATTTCTGGAGCAAATATTTCATTTCAATTTCAATGTGTAGAGATGTGAAAATACAAGAGATTTATGTCGACAACCATTCTGTCACAGCTCCATCGTATGAACGGTATTTACGACAACAAGAATGCACATCACTCTATAACCATTCTGAGACTTAAATACATAAATGTTACATCTACTTTCCTTGTGCAACTCCTTTGCATAAGATTGGTCCATCTTTGTGCAAATAAAGTGATGGCCAAACTATGAAATCAATTTTCTTTCCAGATTTAGTGTACGGTTTGTATTTGTTGGTATCAAGCGTTGAGCCTGACACAAGAGTGGCATCCAGATAAACAGGTGGCGACTGAAGATGCATAAACCAGCAGAGCTCGATGCAAGACATTGTGAATTGTTTTAATTCACCCTTTCTAACCCAGTTTTCATTCTTTGCAGTTATATACTGTAAATAAATCAGATTATAATAAAGCATATTGAATAGAACAATCACTGCTGCATAAAGTAGTACGTACACATAAAATTTATAAGAATATATTATATAAAAATAATTGATCTTAAACCAATAAATTTCGTATTGATTGCTATTTTATTCTCATAAAATATGACTTTAAAAATGCATAAATTGTTAGTTGATATATTTAATCGAGACGTGATTAATTGACATGATTCTACTCTCTTATGCTTTCTTATGCTTTCTCATGCTCTACTTATACGTATCCATTAAAACCCTAATCGTATTGTATATTTGTATAAGGTATAGTACTCTCAAGTAACTTGAAGTAAGCGACATATTTGTTTTATTCAGTGGATGCCCATTTAAATGAAAGCCTACCGATTTGACATCTACAATCGACAAATCAACGGAAGTTTTTCGTAAATCTGATAAGGTTCTTGACTGGAGTTTAGAAAGGTTAACATCGCTGTCATGGTTCACCTTCTTAATAAAAATATAACAAACTTCAACAATACATTGTTAATGAAAATAAAATGGAAATGTTCATTGTAAACAACTTGGATAGACTATTGTTATATTTGAAATTCCGTGTCTTTTCTTTAGTTCACTGTCTGAAGACAAAACAAGGCAAGTTGCTACATATATTTGTACAGTTATTCAATGCCATGTGAAGAAAGATAATAAGTAGCATGCAGACACGAAATATGATTTTTGTTTATATCAGCTAAAAGCAGTATCATCAGTCATCAGTGCGTGAGCATCCATTCTAAGATAGAAACCTTCAAAGTTGATTTAAAGATAGCAGTTTGACATTGATGTACAGCTTTAGTCAATATTTACTTTATTCAGCATTTATCTGTAAATCATTAATCACAATTACTTGATAATCCCTTTTATCAATATACTTCCTAACAGAGATGTTAAATGTTATTTACATTATTATATGAAATCACATTATCACATTTATTTAATCGATTAATGATTTTTAGTTAACTATATGAATTTACTCAAAAATAATTTTGTCACACATTTTGCAAGTCTTCTTTTGGACAGAATCAACTATAAAATTATATATTATATGACGTACCTCATTTGCTATTGTCTTAATGCTCAACCCTTCAGTTGGATTATGTAATGCTCTAGCGAGAGCTCTTTGTTGCATTTTTGAAATATCTGAACACATGTTATACGATTCCTGTAATAAAAAGAAAAAATAATAAACTATGTATAAACACGGACACAATTCAATTCCGAGTATTGCATAATACTTTAGTTATAATGTAACAACTAACTAAGATTATCTTTTTCATATAAAAACGAGTATGATATGAAAGTGTACATATTTTGTTCTTTACGTGTATGGCTTTTACAAAGAAATGTCAAATAAATTTTTTTTTAAAAAATAAACCAAAGTGATTTAACTTTTTTCAGTTAAAAATCAAAGAAAAATATCTAAACTGAGAAGTAAATCCAAGTTCTTGCTACTCATTTATTTTTTCTTTAATGTGTATACACAGAATCACGCATATAAATATAAGTTCTTTAATTCTAATGCAATTGTATAACTTATTGGAATTAATTTATTTTCCTAAAAGTGTATTTTAATAACAAGTAAAACCAGTTAACATTTTGTATGTAATTGAATGATTTAATTCAATATGTTTTAAGACAATGCACACCAATTAACATTTGAGTGGTATCAATTATATTTCTTTATAAACATATGCATTGACAGAAATGACATATACATGTAATACTTAAATACCACTGGAATTATAATTCGTTAAAACGACTCTGTTGTAAGTCATTTAATTTTATACATATTTCGACCCTATGACATTTATCATTTGACAGTATCGTGCATCGTGCAGTTATTACAAAATTAATCCTTACGTAACAGTTTAGAAATATAATGTTAATGTCCCGCATTATTTACATTCTGAATAATATGAATCATAGAGAGAAACAACATGCGAGATCATATATACGAGTACTTTAATCAAATAAATCAAATAATTTGTTTTTAATTGTTTAGATTTTTAAGTATGCCTTACGCATACAAACAGTGACTAGTTTGTAGATATAACGTTAATTATTGTTATAATGTCTTGTGCAAGTATATGATGTGTATACATAGCTCTCAATATGAAATTATCGTTATTCAATAAGAACTTACGACGATTATATTAAGCAGGTACTGGATACACTCATTTTCGTCAGATATTTCTAGAACTTCGTATGCATCGGTCCACGAATTATCGTAAAGCTCAGAAAACTGTTCGGCAAGTTTAGTTGCTCTGTTTGGATCACTCAAATCAGCTATAGCTGGATTGTTGTCTGTTAAATTTGCTCCAGCCATTTTTGATAATCTGAACAAGAAATAAAACATGACGAAAAACTTTTAAGTTCAAATTTTAAACCTTTTACAATTTTGCTCATTCTTAACAGAAAACATTTCTGGATGACATTAAGTGTTCCGATTGAAAGTGAATTTTTCGGGCGGCTAGAATTTATTCAATATGAATAGCTGATTACATTAAGTTTGTTCTAGTACTATTTTTTTTTTAAATTTAGTTCCTCTCCTTTGCTTTTCTTTCTTTTTCCCCTTTATGTTCTAGTAAAGTACAATGGGATAATTGTCCTTGGGATATATTCCTGATTACTGTACTGCAAGGAGGCATGTAGTGGTTTGTATTTAAAAATAGTACACAGATAAAAAAAAAATCAGTCCACTTCCCACCTGTTTAAAAGTACGTCTTTTTCTTCTTTCAGCTCTTCTATTTCTTTCTGCAATTTTTTTTCACATTCCTTCAACTCATTCCAAGCTTCTATTTTCAGGAATTTCTCTTTATGGCTGTAAAATATTATAATGTTAGAATGACTGTATGAAAAAAAATAATTACAGTAAACAACGAAAACGCTTTTATTTATACATTTATGTAATCAAACAAGCCATAGTACTGTGCCGTGTGTATTAGATACATACCCTTCATGTCTATGTTTGTTTTCATATTTTATGTTAACCATGGAAAATATGTTTCATGAAATAGGTTAATCACTAAATATGATAATACGAATATTGTTCTGAAACTGGATATTTCTTTTGATTAATTATACTTTTAAATATCAAACTGACTGCTCATGTATTCATTCCTAATTGATTAAATTTCTCTATTTTTTAATTCGAAATAAAGCGCTAAATATACCAGGTAATGCAACAAACCTTTTACGATATTCTTCCAAACACAACTTTACATTATTCATGTCATACACAAGTTGTTGAAAATCAGGTGTGAGAACTTGTACAAGTTTTGTGTCAGAATGTCCCGACATTGTCAGACTGAATGGTTCTCTGCTTATTAATGTTGATATATCCTTTAGCAGTGTTCTAGCATGATCAACGAACTGGCCTCTGTCTTTAACCAATCTAAAATTAAATTTTCATTGATATTTCTATTTGGATTTAACGCCGAATTGGACACTGGTTTGGTTAATTTTTCGGTCAACAGTCCATTCTTGATTATTTTAAAGATGCAATGTCAAATAATGTCTCTGCAAATGACCGTCTACTTATCACTTATGATTTTAATCAGTGTTGAAAAAACAAATGATCAGTAGACAAACTGTCAGAGATCAATTGATACGGAGATTATTCGCTTCGCACAAGTATTGAGCCAGCGACCTTCTGGGTTAAAATTCGGATGCTGTTTGATCTAATCGGGCAGACTACACGCACTATTCGACAAAAATAAATGTCATAGTAAAGACCTCAAAAGACGGTAAACAACACTTACAACTTCGATGTATTAACAAGCTTTATGAGTGAAGGCTACTATCTATTGAATTTGTTTAACTAAATACTAGATTTCCAGAATAGGACATGCTATATTTACTTTTTGTTATTCTTGTTGTACAGACCTACCACTAATTTGCGGGATGTTCGAATTCCAAGTTAGTAAAACAGGGATTTTACACAAAGAAATTATAAAAATGAAGGAATTTCATTGCTGTGATCATTAATCATGAAAGAAAATCATCACTGTAAACCCAAATTAAGAACAGACTTATTGGTGTTCAGTTATTCCATTTTTTACATAAGGACATGATAATTTCCTAAATTATCCAACCATGCTTTCCACGGATAATCAGCGTTGAAAAAACAAATGACCATTACACAAACTGTCCGAGATCAATTGATACAGAGATCATTCGCCTCGCCCAATGATCGAGTCTTGATAAAAAAAATCCGATGATCTTTAATCAATCGGACTGACTAAAAGTATAAGAAGGGAACAAATATGATAATGCTTATGAATAAAAGGTTCAAAGACATTTCAATTTTAACACCATTGTTGTAGCATTCCCTTTTAATTGCAAACTTTAATTTAGTTACCTTTTCATGTTTTCGACAATAACCTTCCATTTGTCAATACTTTCCAAATCGCTATTTTCAATACAACTCCCTTCTTTTTGCCGTGGTTCAAGATCCATGTTTAGAAGTGAACATAAATCTCCAAGTACTTGTCTGTTGTATTGTGATTTATTTTCTAATTCTCTCAGTCTGTATATACAAAACTGGTATTTATACACATGTATTATAAACTCGCTATGATAAAGCTGCAGTATTTGAAAAATTGATAAAAACAATAAACATGAACCGTTTGAATATTCTTATAAAATATTTCTTAACAATACAATGTTGATGTAGTTCTAATGGATTTAGTTTGAGTAAAATAATAGTTTACGAAGAATAATATTTTGTTCCAAAATATTTATTATTTGCTGTATGCAAATATGTAATATCTAAAAATATCTCACAATTATCAACAGCTTTTAAACAATTTTTTGTTGTTCGTTGTTAAGTATGGCACTGGATAATCGACATTATTTATTGTATTACAAATCTTCTATCAAGGACCAGTTTACTTTAACGTAAATAAAATATATTAATAATCTTAAAGAATTCAGTTATTTCATTGCAAATGTTTATTTCACAAATGCAGAATTTAACAAGATATTAACATTCATTGTTTACAAGAAAAGTTTGTCAGACTGAATCAAGTTTTCTTCAAATAGGCAGAATGTCAGATAGTCAGACAGACGAACGAATTAAAAACTCTAGATTTTGTCCTTTTGAGTTATAGCAGGATCCAGATTTCTTTGGAGTGATACAGACAGACTGACGGATGAAAAGAAAATTGAAAAAAAAACATGCATATTTCCATAAGACCCTTTGCCCACAGACCAAATACCATTTACCTAATTGTTACGATTACATCCACATTTCTTTTGGCAAGAAATACTGACAGACGAGCGGATGGAAAAATTGAAATGATGACCATAATTCATGTTTTGCCCAATACCCACATACCCAAATTCATCAGCCTAGATTTTTTACATTTTTTGCAGGATTATTTTTTGTTCAATTTTCATTGGTTTTCGTCACTTCCTAAAGCAATCGCAACAAATAAGTAATAAAGAAAAAAAGATTTGCATAATTTGCCTTTAAGTACTCTATCCAAACAAATGTACCGAGTATCGTCAACATAGACTTTGTACGTTTTTTTATTGATACGACTTGATCAAATTTTCTTTGGAGGGAGGAATGACGAACCGACGGTTTAAACCAGTTGGGACAAATAGACATATTTTTAACGGTTCTATGAAAAACGTTAGCGCATTATTCGACAAAAATATATTTCATAGTACAGACCTCTAACAACGGTTGGATTTAGAAGCACCCCACTTATAACTTAGATGTACAAAAAATCGTCATGTTTGAAGGCCCATTTCTTAAATTCGTTAGATTTAGTACTAGATTCCCATGATATGACATGTTCTATCTACATTTTGTCATTCTTCTGGTACAGACCTCTCACTTGTTTGTGGGATGTTCGAATTCCGAACTAGTAAAGAAGGAAAATAGGCAAAGATATTATAAAAAGAAATGAAGGAAGAATTACCTTGCTGTGACCAAATGATACTCATGAAAATAAACATCACCTTAAGTCCAAAAATATAGAACATCCTCCAGGGTGCTCAGATATTTATTTTACTCCAGAAGGCTATGACAGTTTCTTAAATGTTCCCACCAGCCTACTCTTTAATGTCCTTAATTGGCCAAAACTAACAATTATAACATTAAACTTCAGTTATAATTGTGCTTAAATTCTACAAAAGATCCATTTTGAGGGAATGTTTTTGAGGAGAACATGATGATTGATATAATATATAATTACGGTATGAATACCAGTGTTGTATTGCTTTGAAAATTACACAGTTAACATTTACTTAGTATTACCTTTCTTGTGTTTGACAGTTTTGAGATTCAAGTGACCTACGGATTTGTCGTATAATTTTCACAGTCCGAAATTCATTGTCCTCTTTAGTCTCCAGTTTGCATTGTTTGTTTATAACTTCAACCTCATTTATACAGTTTACCTCATTTACTAACTTGTTAACCTCTTCCTCAACACAGGACATCTCTTTTTCGTACATTGAAACACTGTAAATATTCAAGTTCAAACGATAAATAAAATTAGTATTCAGTATGATAATATCTTATATTTTAATCAGCACTTACTGTAAAATGAACGGAAACATTTGAGAAAAATATTTAAATGATATGTTTTTGCTGTGTGTATTTTATTTATTTATTTATTTATTTATTCATCTATTTTGTATGATAATCTAAAAATATATGTGCCGGATTGGATTGTACTAGAAAATGAATACCTCGTTAAATATTCGCGTTTCTGTTGTTTGATTTGCAAACGAATACAACTAATCTGTTCGTGTATTCCTTTCTTAGTACCAGCATCTGTATCACAGACGTCTTTAGCCAGTTTTTCAATTTCTATCTCAACATTTTTCTTTTCTTGTCTATACCTAAGAAGAAATAAAAAAATTAGAACATAGATTATCAATGTATTAAGTAAATCATTGACGCTGTTCAATTGTATCTCAGTATAATTGTATTTTCTTTTTAATCAGGATAATTTGTTCACTGTTGTTGTTATCAAGCAGCTTAAAGCCATTTAAAACCGGTGCTAGATGACTAGAAATATGGTTCAATCTAAAGTTAGTTACGAGAAATCGGCAAGGGTCCGCATGTGTTCAATTGTTTGTTTCATCATTTGGTTTTAACGATCACCCTTTAAATTGTATGTCGCTTACAAATTTATATTTGGTTTTGCATACAAACCATTCAAATTCCTGTTGATAATGACGGAAGGACCATTCGATACACTTTAACATATCTTCTGCAGAGTCTGGTTCATTTCGAAACACATCTTTCATTTTTACATCTAGTGTTCCATCTCTCATGCTATTAAATAATTTCTTGATCTCTTTTGATATCTGAGGTATCCCATCATTAGGTTCTCTATTTGTACCATTACTCCTCAAATGAATAAAAGTTGATACATCAGACAATTGTAATATCAGCTTCCATTATTAAAGATGTAGTAAAGATTGGAAATGAAATCATCATAAATCAAATAATTTCAAATAATATATTGTTATACAATATCTTAAATACGTATTCAAAAACAGAAAAAGAACGTTTGATAATGTAAATGATCTGTTTCTAGAAATTAAGCTATTAATCTCGACTAACCTCACTAAACTGTTTACACTTAAACTGTTTTAGACAACATGTATTGCATAACACTTAGAAATAATAAAGACATGTCAGTATTTGGTAATTTGTTTAAAAAATACCAATTTACTTTTGAACAATTTTTACCTATTTGTTCTTCTTTTTTCATGTTGGCAATCTATTATACTGTAAAAGCAATTTAAAATGTGATTGTATGTATATTATTTAAAATCTTCGAAAAATAACTAATAATTTAAAAGTCCATACATTGGAATAATAATAGTGAATAAACTGTAACAAAAAAAAACATTAAGATATTGAATAGACATTTTGTAGTCATCAGCGTAAGTTTTATGATGTTGTAAACTATTCATGTGTAACCTGTGTATCGTTTTCTGTTTATCACTAGTATATTGTATCCTCCGTGTTATGATGTATATGGTTGGTATTTGCTTAACTGTTATGTCGTCGTTTGTTTACCTAACTGTGGTAATGTTATTGTACAGTCTGTTTCGTAAGAGAGGTCACTGTAAGTTGAAAGGTTGTATGAATATGTTCACTAATATTTCACGTGCATGACCCTAAAATCCCCGCGAAACATCTTCTTTCTTAAGTAAAATACTTCCCTTCGCCAGTTCCACTATAACTGATAACATACTTTACAGTATAGTTGTGATTTTGTTGTTACTTAATAGTGAACTTGAAATCGTTTATTGAAAGTTCTTGTATGCTGATCCTGGTAAGAATTTATATATTTGTAATGTCATATTCTTTTCCACTGATGAATTGGATGAAATGTGTCATTTTATTATTTTATAAATCAATTATTTGTAATTCCTTTGCATTTTATTCGTAGGCTCGTTTTTTGTATGTCCAACAATAAAAAGATGAAATAGTAGCAAGTCTTCAATCATTTATCCCCGGTTACATGTGCATTGAGAAATGTTTAGATATAACGTACCAAAGTGTTTTAATTATATGTTAATTATTTCATACTCGTAAGAAAAATTAAGATGTAATTTTTGAATAAATATAATTACCTTAAACACCCGATTAGTCTGGAAAAAAAGAAGATGTAGATAACATATCATAATGTGCAAAGGATTCATTTATACAATAGTGGCCTTTTAATGGAAAGAATATTTAGGAACATAAACTACTAGTATATGTGTCTTTAAGCAAACATATCAAACTCAAAATACTATATTAACTTACAACACAGTCGGGTTAATTTTCTTATATATCAAATCAAACCTGAGACAAATATACTCAGATTTTTCCGTATTGATAACCATATATCTACTGAGTTACAAGCACAGTTAAGGCTATTTGTAATATTTTGACCTCATTTCGGTAGTTTCCATAGGTTGTGATTTGTGTGTGCCGTTTGTTATGTGTAAATTTCTTCCTTTTGGTTACTTCACAATATTTCAATTTTTAAAATGTTACATTTTAAAAGTGTTCATGAAAAATAGTATGAATCTAGAGGCTGGCCGTTTTAACATTAAAATAAAAGTGTATTTCTTTGTAAAAATACGTGCTTATATTTTTTCTCCATAACATATGCAGTTAACGTACTTTGTTATGTAGAAATTCAAATCGTCTATTACAGTTGTTGGTCTATAGAGCCGATTTTTTTTTCTGCCTATAAACTTCTCATATGCATCCTTTATTGTGTTTCTTATGCATTCTAGTTCTTCTTCTTTTGGTGATGAGCATTTTCTAAAATTGTATGAAAAATAAATTTCTTTGCAGTTGCGTCTTTTGCTAAACTAAGTCAATATTTACTACCACATTGTTTATTGCATGGAATTTGTTAAATTCAGTGTAACTATTTTACATAATGCGTTTGTACTTGTCATTTCAAAGTTCATATCTAATGTTTATATTTTCAGAAATGCTATAAGGTTCTTCATAAATGCATCTAATGCGTACCTTGCATCTGTCGTTTTAGGAGGTTGACGATTTCCATCTGATTCCATATTACTTAAAAATAATTACAAATTAGTCATGTCATTCCAAATTAAGGGCTACATATTATTATTGAAACATATTTTATTATTTGCTTTTATGACACAATAAGTAGAAATTTGTTTTAAAATAGCAAACATGATTTTAGCTAGACCCGAGGAAACAGTGTTTCATGATAACTAGACTTTCATCACTACTGAAACGTCGTATTATATGCAGCAAATCTGATTCGTATTACTATCTTTCATTTAAGTTATACATTTCAATTACGTCCTATAAATGAATTGTTTACAAATGACTTTAGTCAAAATAATAATAAAAAAAAAAAATTTATGAAATAAGATAGAAATGTAAACCTCCTGACTGCGTGGTCCGATTGCGTTGATTTTGCTCCAAAAGGATTTGGCGGTGCTACCTCAAACTTGTAATGGCTATAAAAACCGTATTGTTCATTAAAGTATGCCATAACGAAATAAATAAATAACAGAAACACAAACATTTATTTTATCTATATATCGAGAATACCGAATTTCATTTTAACGATGATGAGCTTGTAATGGTTATGTCAAATAATATATATGTTCTGTGCTGTTCTGATAATCCATGTACAAATAAATTCCCTTAAAGAACACCTTTATTTTGACAAATATGCCTGTTATTGTACCAAAAAGGAAAACACGTAAGTATGAAGAAAAGTATCTTACGTCTGGCGTGCACTTCCTCCGCTAGGCTGAAAAGATGAGTAAGTCTTTCATACAGCACATTTTGGCAATATCGAGTTTACAAAGTTAACATATTTTTTAAAAAAAGAAGATAATATAAGATAGATAAGGTTAACTTATTAAGATCCCTACTAACATAAATACGGAATACTGTAAGGGCCATCGTGTTTATAATTTATAATCCAGAGGGCGACAGTGCTATAGCGCGATGACGACAATGCGATGACGAAATTGCGATAGTGCGATGGCGACAATGCGATGTCGACAGTACAATAATGTGACAATGCATTATACGATGGCGATAACGCGATGGCGACATTACGGTAGTACGATTATACTATCGCGTTCTCGCCATCGCGTTATCGCACTGTCGTCATAACGCTGTCGCACTGTCGCATTATCGTCGCATTTTTGAATTGTCGTCATCGCATAACCGTACTGTCGTCATCGCACTATCGTTCTGTCTCCATCGCAATATCGCATTGTCGACTATTGCCTTCCGGTAGAAAGGGGATACTTAAAGAATTATACATAGGCCGAAAATGTAATAAATTATGTAAACCTTTAATATAGTCGAAAGATTTCAGATGAAAATGATGTTATGTTGACATTTAAAAGATGCAAACAGATTTAAGAGTCATTCTATATTTTCGTAACATTTTCAGTTTGAATATCTTTGATTTTTAGATGTCCATTGAGGATTGAAATTTTTTGTGGTGTGATAAGGGATATTTCCCAATCATGAAAAATTATTTTTGCAAGCTTAAAATGCCTTTATTTTGTCAGAAGAGCATTTACTATGACATGACTACTTCTCTCATGTCACTCCTGTAACACTTTTATATTTAACAGCTAGAAAGAGGATACTGTGTCTACACATCCTAAACATGTATCATTCAACAGGTTTGGTATTATTCATTTCAAAGAACAATTAATTCCTATAAAAAGGTACCAAACATAAATTTTAGATGATAAATACACCTGGATTTTTAAAACGTAAATATTTAGAGAGTATTGGAGTTTATATAATTATAAATTAGCGCATTTGACGTAATTTCATATTGTCTTAAAATGAAAAGATCACCTAAATGTTTGAACTGTGACTTCATTACCATCTGATAAGACATCAGTAAAATAAAAAATTCATTTTATTGTGCTGTTACACGATTGACAGGTACTGTAACAGGAAAGACACTTCTGTTACAGCAGTGACAAAAAATAAGCATGCATAGTACTTCGTTATTTTACCAAACTTTGATAGAATTCTATTTTACTTTATTTTAAGATAAAATGTGATCTAAAATATATTATGTAGTGTTTGATTATCACCTGACAAAACCGTGGTTAAATAATAATGTCATTAACATCTTGTTACATGAGTGACATTTTAGTTACAGGAAAGACATTTCTGTTACAGCAGTGACAAAAATATGCATGCATGGTACTTCACAATTTCATCAAACTTGTATTAAATTCATTGATACAAGAAGATACTTATTGTAAGACATTCATCTTATGTCAAAATCAAAGTATTTCTTAAATGATAAAAAATATGGTTTGAATCTTTACATAGTATAGGTTTGGAAACCTGATTCAACAGGACAGTATTCAATGACAATTTGGTGTGCATTAAATGTACCAAAGACATTTTTTTAAAACATGAACAATTACAGGACAAAAGTACTTTCAACCGATCAATGGTTAGAAGACCTCAATGGTTATCAAAGTCTTCTAAATCAATTTTTTCCTTTTGTTCAAATAAGCAACAACCTTCAGATGCTTTGACCCACTTATATTCACTGTCTTTCTAATTAAGCAGACAAAATAACCTTTAACAGAGGCATCACTGTTATAAATTGATCATGTTTCTTTGACTGCCTTACTACCTTCTTCTGCCTTACTTCTTTCTGCTGGCTTACTACTTTCTGCTGACTTACTTTTTTCTTCTGCCTGACTACTTTCTCCTGACTTACTTCTTCTGCCTGATTACTTTCTGCTGCCTTATTATCACTTTCTTTTGCCTGACTTCTTTCTGCTAACTTACTATTTTTCCTGCCTGACTACTTTCTGCTACCTTATTATTACTTTCTTTTGCCTTACTACTTAATGTTGACTAACTACTTTCTTTTGCCTGACTTCTTTCTGCTGCTTTATTAATTCTTTCTTCTGCCTAACTACTCCTATCTGCTGACTTTCTGCTGTAATGATATCCTCATGCTGCTGTAATGACCTACTTTTTTCTGCTGGATTACAAAACTTTCAGGTTTTTAACTTATTTTCAGACTTACAACTTTCTAACTAATTCCATCTGACTTACCTACTGTCTACCGACTAACTACATTTTTTCAGACTTACAGCATGAACTTCTGACATAAATTTATGTTACAACTTTCTGATGACTTACTACTGACTCAAGATTTTCACCTTTTTTACAACTACCACTTTACTTACTACATTCTGCCGTAATAAAAGTTTTGATTGAGTTGAGTTACAATTTTGTACCGACTTACAACTTTCTATTGACCCACAACTTTTATTTTAAATACTATCTGACCTACTACTTTCTAAGGAGCTACGACTTTCTGCTGACTTACTTTATTCTTCTGACTCATAATTTTCATCTGATTTAGAACTTTCTGCTGAATAACCAAAGCCTGGGGGCAGTTGCTTGCACTTTGAAGGACCATGCAAGAAAGTTTTAATCAAACTGAGCCTGCAAAAGTTTCAATTTCGCGGATTTTTAAATATTCTTTAGCGTTTTCTATTTTTCAAGACTTCAATTTATACATGTTATACTTAAAGACAATAGTGTAATTGATAAATTAAGTAAAAAATCTATATTACTCATAAATTATAAAACAAATGTTTTTAAAAATCTGCAATTATTGTCAAATTTTGAATTACAATCATATAGATAAAATTATAATGGCAGAAGATGTTACATTTTCCCCCTAAAAGTATCATTTAGTTTGCAAAATCACTTTTTAACAATTTTCTTTGATACCAAACGCTTATACTGTAACATATTTGTCACTCGTGTAACAATGTTTAAGTCTAGGAGAACCAACCTAACAAAAATCTCTGAGAAATCAATAAATTAGTTCTAAAAACTTTCATTTAGATAGTTTACATACAATGGATATGGTCAATTTTGGCCACTTCTCATGATAAGATATCATAATTATAACAATATAATTTTATATCGTATGATTTAAAAAGTAAACCACTATTTCTAATGTAAAATCTGAAAATTTAAAGAGGTTTATACAGTAAATGTCAAGGCATTTTCTACAAATTGCACTTTTAAATTAATTGATAATTGTTTTAAATGTATCTACTGTAACGTATTTGGTCACAACTGTTACAAAATTAGCTGTAACAGAAGTGACTGTTGCATGAGTGACATATTCAATGTAAATCTCAGTAAAAGTAATAACAATGTATCCCTAATAGATGTGAATCGTTCTTAATGACTTTTACCACATATTTTACAAAATTCTCAGTGGGACTGTAAATGCACAGTACTGACAATTAAAACATACTACCCGTTACAGGAGTGACGGGAATAAAAATTACGCAAATACTTGCGTGCAGAAGTATGCATTTTCCAAATTATACAAACGAGACAATCCCCTGTGGCACCTTGTGTGTTTCTATTTAGATACTTCTCTTTATATTAGAGGCTTTGTTTTATTCTTAATAGGTAGGGATCAGTTATTACTTTTACTGATCACAATTATGTTACAGCAGTGACATAAACTTTAAGGACATATTTAAAAAATGATACAAAAACTGTTGTAAATGTGTGTTTTACATCATAGTTGACTGGCTTAAACATAAAATAATGCAAAAGGGTATGTGTTTGACAGTTAAATTGTCAATAGATTTATAACATTGTCACAAATGCTGTTATTTTTGTATAGGGACAACACTAATTGGCTCTAATTGGCACTCTGATAATTTTTAAGGGTTTATTTAACCGTTAAAAAATTGGACACTGTTGAAATTATGAGATTTCAGCTTAACATTTCTTGTCCATTTGCATTTTTAGTAAAATATCTTAAATATACAAAGTTTTTGCCGTAGGACAGAAAATGCTACGAAAATATGGAATGACTCTTAAAACAATTTTTTATAAAAAGACAAACAAATTATATACATAGATAATTTTACAAAAGTATGTACAAAAATCAAATTTTGTTATAAAAAATGATAATGTTGATCATGTAGATTTGAACAGTCTGTGTAAAAAATGAATAGATTCCTTATATTTAATTGGTCAGTAGTAGAATAGTTTTCTCGACAAATAAAAATATAGTTCATTAATAAATCTAACTGGTCAGCACTGGTCACTATAAAAATACTGCTAAAATCACATAAATAATATCTATTAAATTGTAGTTGGTCATCAGTGGTTTTATTATTTTGTAAAAAGTATAATTTGATATATCACTAACTTTGCTAAATGTTACTAAATACTAACATAAAAAATGAAAGAAATTAACGTCAAAACATAATTTTCTCTATATATCTAATAGGAATGGTTAGCAATTTTCACTATAAGATTAACTTATCATGCAGATTTTACTACATGTTTAACTGATCAGCATATTCTACTATAACCAACTGATTCCGCTGGTGGACATAGTTCGATAAGGTGTTTCAATGTTGACGAACACATCTATCTTGTTATATATCCATTACATTTATACCGGCAAAGTACTTTCTGTTGTTTTTAGGGGAAAACATGCAAAGTTCGAATTACCAACTACCTGCTGGTAGGTAGTTGTGAATTACGAATAACCAACTACTTGTGTTCTACCACGATGGCCCTAACGATATTCCGTACATTATACCTCGACATAATTGCTATTTATGCCATAAATATAATGTCATTTATTCTATTAAATTTAATTGTAACTTATTTCTGTGTTTGCATGTGTTAGAATAAAGTACTTAAGAATATTTTGTATATGTACTTTTGAAAGAAAACTAATAAATGTGCAGATACATTAACAAAATTTCTAAATGTATCGCAGTATATTGATTAAAATAGTTTAATACCGCTCGCACCGAATCTTTTTTTTAAAGCGTATGATATGGTTAAATAGAACACAATAATATATATAAACTTTGTAAGATTTTTAACGAAAATAAATTGGGGTCACCGATTACATTGTGTTGCCTTGTTTTGTAAATGAAATTTAAATTCTTTTGATAATTACAAAACATTAACTTGATTCCTTAAAGGCTTTGAATGGAAATTTAATCAACTTTAATAATATACCGTATCATCGTCTCCACCATGCGCTTTTGGTTGATGATGTAGTTGTTGTTGTCGCTGCTGAGGTTTTTGTTGTATTCTAGCATCTGCAAGAGAAAACATGTTTTAAATATCTTTATTTTTCATCAACACTGCGGTCAAATTTAAAGAAATACTTTCATTGTATTATGTATATATTTGTATCAATTATATTCAGGTTTCATAGCTAATTTCCAACTTCACCGTCGGAAGAAGTCCTGATGTATTCCTTTACCTCGAACGGGTTCTTGCTAAAAACCATCGATGAATACTAATATTGTGAAATTCAATGTCCTAGTCGAAAGAATGGGTGAGTCAGTAATATTAGCCTGAGTCAGTAATATTAACCACTTAAAAAATAAACAAAGTACGTGAAATTTTTTGTTTGTTTGTCTCATTTTACGCCTTTTTCAACAGTATTTCAGTCATATAGGCGGGTAGTTTCCTAACCATCGTTCCTGGAGAGTTACACCAGTACTAGACAACCTTCCTCCGCGCTAAACTACCAAAGCATCTCCCGGGAAGTACGTGAAATAGTTAAGAAATAAACGTATTGCAAACATAAATATATTAGCCCTTTATAATGTTAAAAACTATAAACGAATTCCTTTTGTACATAAAAGAATATTTATACTATAAAATTGCCTGTGAAAGAAAACTTGTAGAAAGGAATTTAAATTTCTGCTTAGTAAAGCTCTAAAAACTTCAATAAAATGTGAGATATTGATTTAAACTACTTAAGACATTGTGATAATTCTAATTCTTACCTGACTTTTTAGATAAAGGACGGTTATTTGTATCTATCACTCCCTTTTGTGATTTTCGGTTGTTCATTCTTTTAAAAATATAACGCTTTCTTTTATTTGTAAGATCAACAATGTTATTGTTCTAATCTAATAGTTTTATATTGAAATATAAAGTTTCTTATTTCTTTATACCAGGAAGTAATGCGTTTCTTTTAATTTAAACCAGGAAGGAAATTAACAAATTACGCAGGTAAAATCGTCTCGTATACACCGTCAGGTTTGTCAAATGTTAACATAACTGTTCTATCTTAATAGTAGAACAGTTTAAAAACACAAATGTTACTACATGAATACACCATACTGAGGGCAGACTTGTTTAATACATGCATATATTTCACCTAATACATTTTTTTTCAATATATATTCTAGTTTAAACATTGTCAGGACTGATTCACGAATAATTATTAAAGTGTTACGTAAGCACGTTCATATCCTCGTACATTTAGTTTAAACTTCCCGTACTATAAGAATATAAATTAAATTCCTCAAAATCACTATTATTTCAAATACTTAACAGATTAACACGATCTGTTTGGATCAATCTACTTCTGTTCAGTTAAACATGTATTCCGAATGATCCAAAAGGCACACCACAGACGGTGATATGGTGAAAATGCATTCGGAACGGAAACGACGCTCATTGAGAATGGTAAACTTATTTACAATTAATACTTAAATTCTATAAATACAACGGAATGGATTAAAGTTTAATATGCAGGATTAAGATTCTTTTTAAAAGGACACCCTGAGCTGCATAATTTTCAGGTGTTTTTTTTTCCTTATTATAAATCTATAAAATTTAAGCATAATATTTATCTAATTTAATATATGACAAACTTGAGTCAAATCGACTTTTTATATATATCATTAATAGGGCTATTAATAATTTACTTATATGTGGATTAGGCCTTCGATGTAATAAACAGCAACATTCCAGGCCAGGTTTTAATCAGTCCTCCAAAAGGACTAAATTAAACCCTCCATCTATCCTGAAAGAAAAAAAATAATAATCAAATCAACATAAAAGTATTATGATCTTGATGATGCAAGAAAAATGCGATATCTTTCCTCCCGTTAAGCTACAGTCTCACTTACATGTACATCCCGGCAGAATCCTGAGAGACGTCCGGGGTGATCCGGGAACGACCGGGAACAACCGGAGTACATCCTTAACTCTGCCGGCAACGTCCGGGATGATCTGGGATGATCCGGGAACATCCGGCATTCGACCCCGGATGGAATGAAATATTAAATATCACCGGGGTGGTCCGGGATGATCCGGGAAGGTATAGCTTTGCCGGCTTCATCCTTAGCTCTGACGGGAACGACCGGGTTATACCGGGAAAGCTCCGTTGTTCTGCCGGCACAAACCGGGGATGATCCGGGGTATGATATAGCCGGTGGAGCTACGTTAGAGCCCCGGTATATGCCGGCAGAGCCCCTGTAACTACAGGCAGAGCCTCAGAGGATAAAAGTAGATTACGGTTGATCTCGGTAGAGCCCCGGCAAAGCCCGGATCATTTCAAAAGAATAACGACAATTTGCGACGATTTCACTTGTTTGTATTAAAACCCTCTCCATTTCCCTTCTATCCAGTATGGCATAAGGATTTTTCAGAAAATCATCATAAATTACTATTCTGGAACAATAGATATTATATGAAATAAAAATTATGTATCAATGTTATCATGTGCATCCTGGGTGGTTAGCTGGGAACTACCGAAGTGCTGCCGGGGTAAGTTTGACGGCAACAATAATTTCACCCCGGATCGTCCCGGATCATCCCGGTTACCTACCGGGATGGTCCTGGACTCTGCCAGGAGTAAGTGAGACCGCAGCTTAAAACAAATGATTGAATAAATCTATAGCGGAGTAAAACTCGACGTTTCTTGACGTCATGAACAATACCGTGAATCTTGTAAATGTTCATTCACTTCGCATATTATATATCATATATTTGCAATATAATGCAAATAATAATGAGAATCAAAGCTAATGTAAATCGTTTTTGTTGTTGTTTATTTTTATTTATTTTATTTTTTTATTTTCATTCCAACAGCGATAATGAGAATAAAGACAAAAGTTGATTGGTGTTGGGCTCGAAACTGTGAAATATGGAAGAAAACACTACATTTAGTATAAGTTAAAAACTAGAAGAGTGTTCTCCCTTTATATATACTTTAATAAATCACTCATTAGATACAGAACGGACACCGAACGCACGGACGAACGACAAAGTGCATTATATTATTCGCCGAAATTCTTAGGAACGTAGAAAATGTTTGTAGCTATGAAGAACCATACGTTTTGAAAGGTGCAAATGACGTGCAACTAGTGATATGGTATAGTATCATAGAAAAATATTAAACGACGTGTCATAGTACATAGTGGTTAGAGTATTCAGATTATGAAAATGTTTCTAAGCTTAGGGTATGAATGTTTGCAAACGCAAACACTTTTATTAAATTATTTTCTTCCTACATATTTTATTGTTTGACGATGTGAGGGTTCATTTTACATTTATAAACCTTTTATCATGACATTGTCTAATTTTAATTATTTAAATGTTTTTACAGCTGAAATTGAATTTTCATAACATTTTGTTTTTCTTAGAATATTTCAAAATCTGAATTTTATTCGCCACATGTTTAACAATTTTGGCACGTTTGTATATTTTCTAGGTTTAAAACAGGGTAACTAAACCGGCGACGCGATAACACTCTCTACCGCTGTGAAATCAGTTCGCTTTTATATAAATATTTTAAACTCCCGATTTTGTCAATATTGATGTGAACAGATAATAAAAGGAATAGCACATTCGAGCCATACGGGTGTAAAGAGATCACATCAGTAATTAATGTATTTAACTTTTGAGTCTCACCTGTGCATTTGTGATCAAATAAATGTTTATAATCTATTTGAACAGGCTGATAACTGTTGGTCGTTTGATAATTCTTTTTATTTTCAGATACCATTATCAATAAGCAAACAATTTATTTTTGAAAATGTACATACATTGGTCATATAAACGTCACTCTCCTAACAGATCTGTAAGTTTTTTCTTTAGTAAATATTTGTAAAGTAATTAATAATGTTTAATAAAGAATTAGTGTCATACATTTAATTGTAGTTTCAGTCAATATAAATACTATATAGTGTTTTTCATGACTTGTATTTATAATTTATCTTTATATACTGTTCAGATGAAAATGTTCAAAACGCATTGCAATAACACGATTTTCAGAGACGAAGTTTTTTATCAATCGTATGTGCATTAAGTCAATTGGTGCAATAATGAAATATGATAAACAAAATCAACAAGAAAAGGCGGCGTTCAATGAACGCAACCCCCATCCGACCCAGTATCAAGAGCCAGTGGCAAGGAGCCAAGGATGACACCAAACAAAAACAGGACAGGGCACAATGCAAAGCATGGGCATGAGTCGATATAGTAATGACTATTTAATTTATGGATATATTCACGCACCAGTGTATCAAATTGTGTGAGTATGACTTTATCATTGTTTACCGTTATTTAACCATTATATTAAGTAGCTTATCCTCATTTACAGAATACATCAAGTCAAGATGTCTTCAAACCAGTCTGAAATCGGTAAAACAGTGTTACCGATCATAGATATGAAAAAGGTCAGTGAAGATCGTGAAGCTGCGGCCAAAAATGTGGTTGACATTCTTGAAAACGTTGGATTCGCTTATGTTGACAATGTAGACGGCATTGATTACAAAGGATTATGGGATTGTTGTCAATGGTTTTTCAATAAACCTATGGAATTCAAGAAAAAAGTAATGAGAAAGCAATGGAATCCAGAAAACCAAAACCTTTACAGAGGTTACTTTCCAGTTGTTGAAGGAGAGCCTAGCAGGAAAGAAGCATTTGAATTTGCGAGGGACGTGCCACCTAATGATACGTCAGTGTCGCCTTCAAACTGGTTTTATGAGAAATCAACATGGCCAGAAGAAGACGGTGATTTTCCTTTCAAGAAGTTTTTGCAGCAGCAGTATGAGGTGATGCATGAGACATGCATGGAAATTCTTCGGTTGTCGGCCATAGGACTCGGAATTCCAGAAAATGCATTCATGAATCTTTTTGAAGATAAACCATGTTCAACATTTCGACTTTTACATTATCCTCCTTGGAAAGGCGAGCCACCAAAGAACGCATTTATAGAGAATGGGAAAGTTCTCACAACACCAGAACATATGGATTCTGACTTTATGACATTGCTTACACCGTTTAATTTCGGTGGTTTGGAGATAATGCAGTCCGACGGCAAGTGGGCAGAAGTAATGAAGCGACCAGGAAGTCTTGTGATGAATATTGGTGTAACATTCTCGCGTATGTTAGGAGGAAGATTCAAGGCAACTCGGCACCGTGTTATAGATATTGGAGTTGATAGATATTCTGTTCCATTTTTCCTTGGTCCACGTTTTGACGGAGATATAGGTGTCAACTATCTTTCTATGTATAAGGAAGGCGGCGAACATCACATTCCCGAGAGATTTGGTCCATGGTTATTGCATAGAATGAAACATGAGCAGAAATACTTTGAATACAAAGTTCTTCCGGAGATAGACGAATAATGTTAAATTTTAGTATTACCGATTGTGTTAAAGAACATGTAAAATGTTTAAGAAACGTACACTGTATCAGAGTTACTAATAACCAGCAAACAATCATCCGATATGAATCATAAAGGGAAGAGAATATGCAAGTGACAATGAATAAGATTTCTCACAGAACAAACTGAAATTCGACATAAATGGGTGACCAAATATTACAGTGTTGTGTGTATTTGATTTCTATCTTAAAACTTATGTCATGTGGAATATAGATATATTTCCTATCCATCTGTGCTGACACACAGTTTAAAAATTCATTGATTATGACTAAAATGTGAGGAAACCCAAACCAACGGCATACATTTTTACTTATCATAATAATGTTTGTGCCACCACTAAAGGGCGGGGGGCATTTAGATTTACCCTTGTCCGTCCGTCCATCCGTCTGTCCGTTCTCTTTTTGTGTCGCACGAAACTAACAACGTAATTGACCTAGAGTCATGAAACCTTCTAGGAATGTTGATCAGCATGTGTAGTTGTGCACCTTGGTATTTTCGTGGGGATATTTTTAGTATTTTTAGTGTTATTGCTCTTGACTTAGTAAACATTTGCAATTTTCAACTTGTGTTGCACGTAACTAAAATGTATTTGATCTAGAGTCATGAAACCTTACAGGAATGTTGATAAGCTTGTCAAGTTGTGCACCTGGGGATTTTTGTGTGGATATATTTAGTATTTTTAGAGTTATTGCCCTTGACTTAGTAAAAATTTGCAATTTTCAACTTGTGTTGTACGTAACTAAAGAATATTTGACTTAGAGTCATAAAACCTTACAATAATGTTGCTCATTAGTGTAGTTGTGCACCTAGGTATTTTCGTGTGGATATTTTCAGTATTTTAAGAGTTATTGCCCTTGACTTAGTAAAAATTTGCAATTTTCAACTTGTATCTAACGTAAGTCAAAACGTATTTGACTAAAGGCGTGAAGGTTTACAAGAATGGTGGTCAGCATGTGTATTTGTGCACCTTGGGATTTTCTTGTCATCATGGAACCTTCAATGTGATACGTAAGTGCCATTTCATGAAAAGCGGCATATGGTCCCCAAGTAAAAAATGCGCTTGCCCTAAACGAGAAAACAATGGGCGGAACTAAATAAAATGGAATTTTGAAAAGGGATCAGAGGTATTGAAGCCTGCATAATTATCACAGATAAGATGTCAAAAGACAAATATAAAAAGCAGGCCACATATCCTAAGGGTGATTCAACAGTATTCAGGTGAGGAATACTGGAACCACCCAACAAGAAAATAGCAAATAGAAATAACAAAATTACCACAAGCACAAAAATAATGTCGTGCTAAACGATATTTAAGGATCGGAAATATAACTACTCTGATTGAATATACGGACCGACTTTTTATAGCCTCCACACAGCACAAACAACGCTGATGTGGGACTTTAAATGAAAAGCAAAACGTCATATCAACAATCAAAATATTTGTTGCTGCTTGGTTGTACACTAATGTTACGAAGACTAACTAGAAATGTTTCCATGGGACGACACGGGTTTCTCCACACCACTCCACTGGTCAATCTTACGACTCTTGGTCAAATATTTATTGGGCTACATGTGCCACAAGTTGAAAACTAAAATCTTTTACTTAGGAAAGGGCAAGAACTTTATTTCACATTCAGGCAAAGAATGCAAATCAGTTGTATTCACACTAGCTGTGTGAATCGAGCGTGGGTATTTGTGACATTTAGTTAATTTTCGGAGTCCCCTTCAAATGCCTGATAAAAAGTATGTGTTTCTAAATCAGCAATTCCACCATAAGCAAAAGAGATTTCAAGAGCTTAATTTTCTTTCTAATTTATTTTCGTCTTAATCCTTCTTCCTTTGTTTCAGCTGTTCCTGTCGCTCCTTGCGTTCCTCTCTTTGGCGTTTACGTGCTTCCTTTTCAGGATTATCCTCCTGTTTGTTTTCTTTGTTTACGCAGATTATAAAAAAAAATACCTGTGATAGCTTTTGGGAGTAGTATTTTGTTGCAAGCAGTTTGTTTTTCTTTTGTAAATTAAATAGTTAAAGGCTCGTGGTACGTTGTGAGAAGGCGACGACATAAAAGGTGCAATTACTTGAGGTAAGTTCTCAACTGAAACACACTCGATAGAGCTGCTTGCAAGAATCGTGTCCGCGTTAGATTTACAATTGCTGCTACCTTTATCGGACACGCGATTTACAAAAGCAACTTTGAATGAACGTTCATTTAACGTCGCCTTTCCTTGTTGATCTTGTAAATAATATTTTGTCAGAGGTGCCTCTACTTGTAGGTGTGTATAAGCCTGGGAAGATACTGTACTATTGTTTCTGTTGTATTAACCTGGGAATTTCTGACTGTGTTCCAACTTAAAAGTACCTATAAAAAGTCCATTCTCACGAAAGGCTGGTTTTAAATGCTCCCAATGGTTCAGTTTTTCCCAGATATTTCCACATCTTTTAACATTAGTAGACTTTTCCTAGGTCTGCTTAGAAACGGCATCATACTCTTGCTTGTGACATATTCACCAATGTTTGCTGTTTTGGAAATCGCGTACTGCTTGTTTCATACTTTTCTCAGTGAGCTAAATAATTTCAGTTCGCAAGGTTGTAACAGATGGGGCGCCTGCTCCAGTAGGCAGTAAAGAATTATCCCAAGATCTCTCCCTCTAACGTGTAGTAAGGCCATCCACAAATAAGATCAAAGTTCTTATATTTCCCTTTCAGACAGCGCCAGTTTAAGTACCTCGGCAAAATAGAGTATGTATCATTCTCGGCTTAATGAGGGTCTATCGGCCCTTCCAGGCTTTGAGAGTACGGAACCCGGACATGTCACCGTTCATGTCCTTAAATGAAATTATCAACCTAAGGTGACCTAAAAATTTTGTATTCAGTAATTCACTGAATGATTCTAAATATGTATGCAATGATACAACTTTGGTGTAAAATAGAAAAAGTGACTCCCTGAAGAAAGTCCAAAACTGCAAAATTAAAAGTGTTGCAGGCTCGATTTGATTGAGCCTGTTCATGAAAGATACTGTCAAGTGCAAACAACCGTCCACCGGCTTAAGCAAAATTGAACATGAAAACTAAGTATTGATTTATTGGAGTTTTGTTTGTAAAATACCATCATTTCACCATTCAAGCAAAAACACTCAATGAAAAGAAGTTGTATAGATTAAATACAGCAATTAAAGCACGAGTGTCCTTTAGTTTACAAAAATGGGCAGATTTTACTTTCACCGATGTTAATATTTATCGAATTATTTATCAAATGTAATGTTCCAAAATGAGGAACAAGAGTCCTACGATTGATTTTTTTGGGGGGGTGTCTCATATACCTGTACATCAAAATTCACTTAAAGATTTAAATTATTGAAATGAGATATTTATAAATTGTTAAATTGTACTTAAAATTTAGTATTTAAAGATAATTGTCCAAGAAAATATGAAAATACATAACTCCAAAGAAAATCTTGAAGACGACTGCTCAGTACTGTCTTTTGGCGTTCCGAGCCGATATCGCGCATGTGCAGTCATTATGTCCGTGCTGTTGCTCATGCGCAGTACATATAAAGAACCGGAGATAAGCAGATAAACATGCACTATGTATGTTAGGGAATCTGGGCTGAGTCGATGCTCATGCGCAATATAAATAAGAGAACCTGAATCACGATCCGCATAGTAATACAAATCCGACTATTAAATTATCGCCGAGGTTTAACAAAAGCATACGGAAACGATAAAAAAAATAAACATTGTAAACGGACATGGACTTAGCGAAATACATTCATTCCACGCAATGGCAGAAATAAGCAGTTGTGTTAAATGAAAGTTTACTATAGGTAATACTTATTCTCAGATTGGACAGTTTCATGTGTAGTAAAATACTTCGGTAATAACTCTATAAAATGATGCCTATATTACTGTTTTAGAAATTGGATTATAATTGTATTATATAGAAACATGAACCCTCATATGTCACAATATTTCAATTGTGCCCGCACAATATCCATTGTATTGGCATAATGTCGCTGTTACTAAAATGAATCGAAAAAGCGGAATTTATTCATCGTTGCAATCTACGCAATAATTCAGGCCAACTTATCCTTAAGAGAATTGAAAAATAATATAAAGCTTTCACAATACCTAATCTGTTATGGTGTTTATTTATATTTATTCAGCTTACTGTAGTATAAGTACGAGAAAAACGTTTTTCTATTCATTATTCATATAATCCCCAAAGTGCAAGTGTTGATACTCATGTCATTAAAAAGAGAAATAATTATCTCTTTCACTTTCTTTTTTATCCGAATAGTTCATTTTGCTTTTCATGTTTTTGAACAATACATGAAATATATTGCCTGTAGCGTATCTTTGAGAGTACAATCTTTTTGACGATCTAAATTGCTCTTTTATCACAAATATACCTGAAGGACATTTAATGAAGGGAATTAATTGAAATTATATCATTATTCACCAGAGACCAGTTATTCTAACATTTTGTTTTTTATTTATTTATTTATTTATTTATATAGTAGTTAATTAATTTATTTATTTATTTATGTATTTTTGTAAGTATCATTGTAACTTTACGCTTACGTTTAAACTTACGTATTGAAGTCGTTTGTATGTTCACAAAACGTTCGTAAGGTTTTAGCTCACAGAAACCGAAGGTTCAGGGTGAGCGATAAGTATCAAAAGGGGATGCTCTGGCGTGATTTGCCCCTTTAAGTGGCTTTAGAGCTCAAATAGAAAAAATATTTCAGCATTTTCTTTTACTGAACTAATTAATGGATGATCACCAAACTTTGTCTGTAGTATTCTCATCATCTTTTATATAACAACAAGGCTCCAGTATGAAAAAGTAATAAGAAAGCGAGAATTGACCACATGTACAGTAACAATATAATGATCATTGGCCATTTGTTGAAGGTTCCTTTTTTATCATGGAGAAAAATAGTCGTGAAACTATATAATTAGAGGGGCTTGTTCTGCCTTTCGGCAAGTTCATTTCAAACATAATTTTTAACATAAAAAACAGTTGTTACTGATAAGCGTTTCGGGGCCATCATGTCCTCTGGTTTCTTAATTTTACGTTAAAAAGGTTCGTAACTCTTCAATGGAGGTTTTAAAAATTCTTCAATTGGGAGACGTTCCGGACATATTCATCTTCTATAAAACATTGAAATCATATACTGCAAAACATTCAAGAAAGCTTTACTTTAAGCTAGTAGGGTCATCTCCGGACACACAAGAATATTGCATGTTCATTGTAGACAATCGGCCATCCACCACATGGCAGGTTCTGTTGATTTTAATTTTACTCGAAAGAAAGGAAAATATCGAGAGAGCCCGTGCTATCCATCTTGGAAATATTATAGGACGTTTGTTTGTTTTGTGTGATTAAAGAACTTTAATGTGAAATATTTTGTTTATTCACGTAACCAAAACTGTTTCTTTTCTTTTCTAAGTTCATTCCTTAGGCTTACAAGTAATGAAACCCGTGTGCTTTCTAACAGTTTTATTTTATTCGGAAAACAGCCCAAAAAAGATGGCGCAAATCGTTTAGCGGCTACGAGTAAAACATAAACAAAATTGACTTGAACAGATCGGTTTATCGTCATTCACATATACAAGAAAGCGTGCATGCATTTAGTAAAGCGTGAGTTAATATAATATTATCAATTATTTACTTTACATATCAAATATACATGTATACAAATGCGATACAAATACACCATACCATACACATTTAGCTGTATAATCATTCTCTATAACCTACATGGATTATCAACATCTTGCCTCAATTCAGATGTGAAAATGTTTAAGACCCGTAATCTTACTTATTAGTTGAACAAACTTTCGATGACCAAGTTTTAACACCATTATTTCTTTCCAAAACTTTTCTAAGGTCATCTTAAACAGTGTACAAAATTGACTTTCTGGTGTTTAATTCTTAGAAAATATATCACAATTTTTATGTCTTTCTATATACAGAGGGTATCGTCCAAATTCACTATACAAAACAACATTTAGAATCAAATTAAGAATGTTTTTAGAAACAAAAGATAGTAAAGATAGTTGTCATTATATGGTTGCTGATTTTATTCAATTGCGCGTTGCGTTGGCGATAGCGACAACAAAATCTATATCGTTACCTATGATTTTCGGCTTGTTAGCGACAACAGGACGAAGCGCCAAACGGCGCACTGTCGTTTTGTCGTCCTGTCGCTAGCGAAGCATGTCGCCCTGTCGCTTGGCTAATATATATACTAACAGCCAATCATCCGATTTGAGCCAAGCGGCAATGTGACATCGCGATAACACGCCGCACGACAACGCGTCGTTAGTGATAGGATGACAGTGCGACAACACGACGTTTGGCGCTTTGTCGTGCTGTTGCTAGCGATAATCTGACGCACAAAAGTGTACCATACAGTGTAGCTTCAGTGAAGCTAAATTAATGTGCACAAAAAGTTCAGCATTACTTTATTTCACTGAAAAAAACAGTATTTAAAAAAGATAATCTTGATGTTCATTTAATACGAAATATATTAACAATTATACACTCTCCCATTCCGTATTCACTAACTTGATACCAAACAAATGAAATTTACTGAGTTCAAGTTATCATTATGTCATTTATAATATACTTAATGCATCAACATTTAGCATCAACGCGTTTGAAGTTAAAATAATATAAAACACTAAAAACAAATTTATAATACTTTTGGTCAGGGTCAACCACAACTTAGGAGGGTATGGGGTACCAATCTTTTTTTAAATGTATAAAGTAAAATACTTTTGCCTTTAAGCAGAAAGACGACTTTCATATTCGTACTCGTTATTAATTTATTGTCACTTTTAAAAGCCTATTAAGCCACATGATCTATTCCTTACTTAACATGTATTTTTCCAGAGCCGCTTTAACGGCCATCTATAAAAGACTCGCTTTCGTTCTCAGACATTATTTATAGATGATGTCAGTGTTTTTACGTAAGTTTTAAATCAACGATTGTTACTGTAACTTTACGAAAAAAAACTAAAAAAAAATCTTACGTTCGCAATTGTTATTAAAAAATAAAAATCAGATGTAAGTTTAAACAAACACACATTTTAAGCGTAAGTACGTAAAATGGCCCCTGTATGATTTTTAAAACGTTTGATAGATGAATATTTCAATTTAAAAATAACTGTCTTTAAAAAGAAAAGAAACATAATTTCAGTTGTTATTTTAACAAAGCACACTTGGACAATTATTGTGAGGTGATAACATTTAACAAACTTGCAAGGTATTGTCAAATAATTGAAAATTATTAAACGTGTCAAAAAGTAGGTTTTACATATACCTATGTATCAGCTTGTTTAAACAAACTGATAGTCAGTAGATAATGCACATTTAATCGCACTTGTTTCACTGAACAAAACAATTTATCTTCCATTAATGTACTTGAATTTCATGAAAAACCATCATAATAACAAGAGGTTTGTAAACGATTGTCTATTACTTTAATATCATTTCTGAAAAAAGAATTACATGTTTTAAGCATTATAACAATCCTGGAGTAGTACTAATATTTCTATTCATTAATTAAGATTTTTTCTAGAAGTTAAAGACATACCATTCGATTTATAATATTGTTTATATAATACTGTTTTGACTTAAGTATAAACGAAAAAAAACAATATGCCATAAACAACATGAAATTATTGATTAACATCACCTTATTTTTTCAGAAAAGACAAAGATGTCTTCAAATCAATCTGGACAAGGTAAAACAGTGTTACCGATAATAGATATGAGTAAAGTTGGCGAAGATCGTGAAGCTGCGGCCAAAAATGTGGTTGACATCCTTGAAAACGTGGGATTCGCTTATGTTGACAATGTGGACGGCATTGATTACAAAGGATTATGGGATTGTTGTCAATGGTTTTTCAATAAACCTATGGAATTCAAGAAGAAAGTAATGAGAAAGCAATGGAATCCAGAAAATCAAAACCTCTACAGAGGTTACTTTCCAGTTGTTGAAGGAGAGCCTAGCAGGAAAGAAGCATTTGAATTTGCGAGGGACGTGCCACCTGATGATACGTCGGTGTCGCCTTCAAACTGGTTTTATGAGAAATCAACATGGCCAGAAGAAGACGGTAATTTTCCTTTCAAGAAGTTTTTGCAGCAGCAGTATGAGGTGATGCATGAGACATGCATGGAAATTCTTCGGTTGTCGGCCATAGGTCTCGGAATTCCAGAAAATGCATTCATGAATCTTTTTGAAGATAAACCATGTTCAACATTCCGAATTTTGCATTATCCCCCATGGGATTGTGAACCACCCAAATCCGCATTTATAGAAGATGGGAAAATTCTCACTACACCTGATCATGCGGATTCTGATTTTATGACATTGCTTACACCGTTTAATTTTGGTGGTTTGGAGATTATGCAGTCCGACGGCAAGTGGGCAGAAGTAATGAAGCGACCAGGAAGTCTTGTGATGAATATTGGCGTAACATTCTCACGTATGCTGGGAGGAAGATTCAAGGCAACTCGGCACCGTGTTATAGATATTGGAGTTGATAGATACTCTGTTCCATTTTTCCTTGGTCCACGTTTTGACGGAGATATAGGTGTCAACTATCTCTCAATGTTTGAGAAAGATGGCAAGGATCATGTTCCTGAGAAATATGGTCCCTGGGTATTACACAGAATGAAATACGAACAGAAATACTTTGAATATAAAGTACTTCCGGAGATAGATGAATAATTGTGCAATGTATTAATCTTAATTGAATCCGATTGCAAAAAAGTATATATAGTTTTAGACCTTAACCTCATGTTAACTAAGATTAATTCAAAAACAGTGTATTTAGAAACCATTGCAAAGGTGCATTTTGTGTAAATACAAGAACGGTTAACTCAAATGCAAAGGTGTAGGATGAATGTTACAAAATTAACCATGAAAGGATAAATATAAAGATATTTTTTTATTAATACTGTTCAAAACGTATGTTTTTGTTATAGAAATGTTTAGACATAAGGCATAATTCAAATGCAATAACTTTGTCATTTTAAGACCCCAAATATATACTTATCATTTGGAAAAAAAAAACCTTTTTCAAGGTTAAAAGATATTACAAAGTAAATACATAAAAACCTTATTTTAGGATTTTCCTGAGAAATAGTGATTACATCGTTATATTAATTAACATTAAATGTCCGATACATTATTTGTTTTAGATTTTTGTTTAAAAAAAATCATGTGCGTTTGCATTTCTTAGATATATGTCAATATAACCGTCTGTTAATGATGAACACAGCATTTATATAGGTTTCAAGGTTTTCTCTGTTGCATAAATTTATTGAACAAATTATATATTAGTTATACTCTGTCAGTTAAATCACTCTAAACGGTTCATAAAATATTATATTTAATTTTAAAGACACTCATTAGCAATGACAAATGCATAACAGTTTAATATACAACGTTTTTTATAGATAAATATTAACTAAACTTAAATGCTCTTAAAATCCTTTGCTTATTACTGTAGTATTGTTATTACATAAGACATAATTTGATTGAAACATCTTTTGTAAGACATAACATTTGGAAATAATATTCACCGCAAAATGTTTCTATTTTAAGCTATCATTTGTTCTGAATTCATTATAATTGGGTTGAAAATCGAAGTGATACATAGATACCAGGAAAAATCTTCCAAAATCCTACGCAGCGGTCCCCGTTTTACTTCGCTACAGAGCGTAGCCAATCAATTCACTGTGAGGAGAGTGGTCATTTTATGTTAACATTGCACACTTATTATTAAAGTTTATGATTATAGCGAAATTAATGTTATACATACTAGAGGTATTTTAAACGGTCATTTTTTAAAAGGAAGAAAGTATTAGGTTTATATTAGTTATATTATATTGTTATATTAGCTAAATTTCCATGATTGACTTATCTAAAAAGTAAAGGTTTGAATTTCTTCTTTCTCATTGTCATTGCAAGTGTTTCTGTTGTAAGATTTTACAACAGAAGAACAAATAAAATGCACAATTAAACTTTGAATCTACGGTTTGTATAATTGTACTTCTACTTCTTAGAACAGTTTAAAATTCTTTTTTTTTTTCAAGCTTAATTCCTGTTCATAAGATCTTGGTTATTCTAGTGGGATTACTAGTAACTAATGACAGGACATATTTAGTTTATATTACGAAGTCCTTTTTAGTAAAACTACAAGTGTATATATGTCATCGTTGAAATTATGTCCATTCACATACTGTCAGTCATAGCTATTAATCCGAGATTTCGATAAAACATTATACAAGCTTGAGATATTTTAGGAATGATTGTAAACAATTCTAAAGCATTCTCTAGATATGTTTGTAACATAAACGATGAATAATACTTGTAAGCACCCGTTGCAATCTGATTATGAACGACAAATCTGATTGCCGGTCCTTATGAAACACAGAGTTCTCGAAGTATTCACTTGAAATGGTTAAATGTTACAAGAAAGAAATATTCGCAGCACATTGATAAACAGTTTTAGAGTTCTTACGTCCGACCGGCTAAGAAATTATATGGACACAAAACTGTTTTTACATCATTTAGAAAATAGGAAAAAACGAAGTCTCTAAAGAACGCTCAAAAAACGGCGAAATAGAAAATGGCGAAGACCTGGTTTGCGTGAGCTTATTCATGAACAAAAATGGTAGGTGGAAGCCACCAACCACACTTCCTAGCAACGGTTTAAGAAGTATTTAACATTCAAATATAGCCATTGTGAAACATAATAAAGAAACGTACGCAGATTTGTTCAAATGGTGGTCATCATAGAAACCTTCAACGTGGCACATTTGTGCTATTCAATGACAAGCGGGGTATGGTCCAAAAGAGAAGAAAAGCATGTGCTCTAAACGAGAACACATTTTTTTTCAATTTTGCGGAATAATATAGAAATGGATTTTTGTTTTATAAGGGTATAATGGTTTCTGAATCCTGCATATCACATGCTTTTGACAAAAGAAACATAAAAGGGCAAAATGTCCTTAGTTTGAGTATTAGTTTATATGTAATAAAAGAAGCATGTATACAATAAGAAGAAGCTCAAATAGAAAATGAAATAAATAACCAAACACACATATGAATAATGTCGTGCTGTACGATCTCTTGCATTGGCTAACTATGCAAGCTCGAATCTCCTGCAAAGAATTCCATTTTATTTAGTTTTGCCTATTGTTTTCTCGTTTAGGGCACTTGCGTGTCTAATTGAAGGTTCAATGATGAGCACCGTATAAACACATATGAGGATGTCTCTAAGTTCGAAATTACACCATTACCAAATTCAATGTTGAATTCTTCTGAAGATGGTACTAGGGGTCATGGACAGTATCCTGTGCTCTCCGGTACTGTCAATGAATAAGCTCAATAAAAAGGAGCCTACAACATTTTTAATTTTGCCGATTTCGGCGTCCTTTAAGGTTTCTATTTCTCTCTATTTTTACTTGAGCATGGCTATGGTGTATTGCAATTAAGAAACGTATATGTGCTCATACAGTAGAGATCACCGAATGCTTATAAAGTAGATATCACCGAAAGCTTCAATAACGACACATGGTACCAAAGTAAAGTAGACATGTTCTCTAGATAAGAAAGCATTAGGGGAATCGTAAAAATTGTAATTTAAAGGTGTGCAAAGGTTATGAAGCCTGCTTATTACAGACATACATCAAAAGACAAATTTAAAAAGCAGGCAGTATAACATAAAGGTGGTCATCTTTTTTATATTAGGAATACTGAAACAACTTAATAAGAAGAAGATCAAATAGAACAAACAATATCTCAACTCTACACCTATGTCCTGTTTAACGATTTAAGCATTTCGCATTTCGCATTGAATGTCCCGGGCGACATTTTATGGCCTCTACATGACATTTAAAACGCTGTTATTACTATGGAACAGAAAACTACACTTTCATTCTGATGTCAGCAATTATAGTGTCTGCTCTTAACGCCTTACCATTTTGTAGCAGTGCATACTAAAATCATTAATTTCGTTATTATAGGTAGCCCTTTAGTGGTAATGTGTGGACATGATTCGGTTATTTCTCACTATACTGTTTTATAATTAATATAATCATATATTGGCGATGCCTGTGAACGGCATTGTCTTTTATGAAATGCCTTTTTGTGGCACTTGGTAGATGTTTATATTATTAACAGTGTATGCCATGTTGTGTTAATTAGTTTTAGTTTTATTCTTAAAATCAAATAAACAAATGCTTTGTTATATTTGTATTTTATAACTTGATTTGAAAAAAAAATTAAATTGTTATATTTATTTATGAAATGGCGAAAAATTAACCCTTATTTTCGCTTTATTTGTAAATAGAGATAATAAGAATCCCTAAAGAAAGCCCAACACGGCAAAATTTAAAATGTTGCAGGCTTGGTTTGATTTGATTCATGGACAGTACTGGTAAGTGGAAATACCATCCACAACATAGAAACATCCGCAGATTTGTTCAAACGGCGGTTATCATGGAACCGTCAATGTGACACAGTAGTGCCATTCAATTAAAAGCGGCGTATGGTCCCCAAGGAATAAAAACTCCGAATATTGTTGTGGTCTACATTGATGTCTATTTTGGAATACACTGGAATAATTTTTTGTAATGTTTTGATTTTTTATGGTCTTCACTGTTTATTCATTTTTGTTTATTGTGCATTGTATACTGTTATCTCAAACTATTTGATCAGGTTCGGATTAAAGTAAAATGGATCATTTAACATCATATTGGGCTTCTTGTTGCTTGTTTTTGTTGCTGGGTCGTGTGGGGGTTGCGTTGATTGAAAGCCGCCTTTCCTCGTTGTTCTTGTATATCATACTTTATATCTATTGCATTTTACTTTTTAGTCTGTCCCTGTTTTTGAACTCAAGTCGTCTGTTAAAAAAAAATTAATGGTGTCAGGATCAACATAATGCGTTTGCGACAAGCATGGATTCAGGTCAGCCTGCGCATCTGTGCAGTCTGATCAGGATCCATGCTGTTCGCTTACCAACCCTTTTACAAGTAGAGAAACTGATAGCAAACAGCATGGATCCAGATCTGGATCCATGCTGGTCGCAAACGCACTTTGTTGGTTTTGTCGTGACGCAGCTCATATGTAAAGCAAAACTTAGGAAATGGTGGAGGAATACACATCATACTGAACAGTATATATCTAATACACAGATATGAAAATAATAATCTGCATTATCTTATCTTTCAATTATATATAAAATGAGTTAATTGGCAGATTACATTATCTTGACCTTATTAAGATTATGAGGTCACGTAAAGAAGCATGTTCCGAACAAATTTATCAAAAATGGTCTTTTTCAGAAAATTTATCTTAAATCCGTCTTAGGAATGACAGCTGCCCACTAACAACTTAGCCTATTGTGTAGGGGTAAACGTGTTGTCGTTGCATGGACGTTAACATTTATTAAAACGTAAAACTTTAAATTCATTCCGAATCACGGAACATTTCCAAACATGCTTAAAAGAACATATCAATATGACCAAAGGTACTACACGTCTAATAACACTCTTGAAATTGAATTTGAAATTGCCACGTAAAAAACAACAATCTTTCAACAATCTATACCCGCCAAACAAAAAATCTTTCTTACGGACCGTGAAAACCCGGTTTTGTTATACAACGTCCATAAGGACAATAGAACTCAATTATACGATGTAACGCTGAGTACTTCAAATTGGTTCGATTGTTTTGGAAGCTATAAACTTATTTAAACACCTCGAATCCGTTCCTGGAACCGGCAAGTACTAGGCAAGGAATGTTAAATTTCTTGCTTAATATAACAACGGGTTGCCCGTAACGGGATTTGAACCCATACGGGTTTTTAGTCCTCATAATTATATTAGTATCCTTCAACTGCTAAATATTTGGGTAAACTTGATCATGGTCAGCCTACATATCCATTTAGTGTCAGCTCAACCTGCACTCTTTATTTGTCCGCAATAATATTTTTGTCTATCATTTTATTGATAGATTGATTGATTCAAAATGGAAGTGCAAAGCACTAGTCAGTTACAGTTAAAAGTATAAGGTTAATTTGGTTTATTCAGTTTAATATGAATTAAACACTGACACTAATAAGAGGTCAATTATGGTGACCGGTAGCCTCAAAGCATAAAGGGCCACGCCAAAATGTCTTTCTAGATGAAAAGTATTAACGATTATGTATGATGGCCAGTTGCTGACATTTCAAACCCGCGAGAAAGTTTATCGTTTTATCATAAAATGTTGCAGGCAGCGTACAAATCTGCAAGATTTTCTACTTAAATCATACAAAATGTCGCGAGGAGCATGCACTGCTTTTAGATATGATTGAAAACTTGATTATATAGAATGACCATTGTTACGGTCCAAAATTGTATATCAAAGAATAACAATTAACAAACGTTTAAGTAATAACAATATTCTAAAAACAGAATACTAAATTATTTAAGCACATGTACTATATTGTAAATGATTTACAGTACCTAGATGTTAACATAATTATATTCATGTCTTATCCTGTTGAAAGAATTCTATGGGTCTTTGATGAAGTATTTTCCATAAAGTAACATTGAATAGCCGAAACGTAGGTCTGGAACCTGACCTACTTTGTATTGTGTGGTTCACATTCCGTATTCTTTTTATTAAAGTAACCTTAAGTATAATCATCCCATAAATTGTTGAAAAGTTGCATTAATTGCTCACGGAAAATAATAAATAAAAAATTCTTTTATTAAATCATGTAATGAAAATTTTACCCAATATTTTGCGTTCAACCTATCCGAAGATTTTACCTGAAGCTCCCTCTTTGAACAAAAGCTTGAGGTATTGGTATGTTTTATGAATTTTCTTGATCATTCTCGATATAAGATTCCAAAACAAGACAGATTCTACAAATTTTAGAATATTTACTTGAAACTTTTCTGCACTAATCTAAATAT